CTTCAAGGGGCTAAGTTAAAATGACTGGAACCATAATGTTCACTGCAATATGCCCCGTAACAGTCAACACCCTGAGGGTGAAGAACTTTGTTGTGCCTCCTCCCCTGATCATGGTAGGGGTCATCCTTGAGACACACCTGCCCCACACCCTGCCAGGAGAGCCACCCCTCTGTGTCCTGGCTGATGGCATGTGTGGGTGCAATGTCCTCCTTAACCCTGCTGGTGGGGCCATCTGGTGGTAGACATGCCAACTTCGGCTCTACTGAGGTAGGTGCCAAAGCTAGCAAAACGAGGCTGTGGGCTAGTGAGAACTGCCATCGAATCAGATCTCCAGAGGCCTGTCAGCCACAAAGGTAGCCGTGCAGGGCATGCGCACTCAGCCCGTGTGTGAGCAGGAGCAAAGGGACACAGCATCCTTGTTTATTGCAGCTCTCTTACCTTGCCTGGCTTGTCTGACGCTCATCTCAGGGCTTCTCAGGAATGTTATTCCATCAGGAGAGGATTGAAACATACTGAATTCATCCTATTTTACCATCCTCCAGGCTTCTGATTTGAGGGAGGGTTAGTTGAAAAAATACACACAACACAGAGTGACACAGTGGAGATTACAAGACTTCTTGTAAAAGACATGAAGTGAGTCTTAGGACAATGTGTCAGCCAACAGAGGACAATTAAAGTAGTTCTTACAAAACCATTGTGAGAACTGAGAGCTTCACATAAATGCAAGGCTGGAGAGAGGCTCTACAGAGGCCCTGAGTCCAGGAAGGACAATGCTTCCACCACTCCACCAATAGGTGGAAAGTAAAATTTGATTTATTTTTCAAATGGCACATTTTCACGCATACAGAATTTAAAATTGTAGCTTCTTTCTGTTGTTTTCTGATGTTGAGATTCTGGATACAGGTATTGAAGCTGACCTTTTCTCATACTTGCCTTGTTGGTGCACAAGGCACCCAGCCACAGTAACCAGCAGGCCACCCTACCCTGGTAACTGGATGCTTTCATCTAAGAAGGAAGCAGCTGATGGCATGTGCTAGTGAAGTGTGCACAAACGAGGCTGAACATGGGGCTGATCCAAAAGGGCACATTTCCCCCCTATTACTGCCCTGTGCACTCCTTGGGCTAGGGCGTTGGCAGGGTGGGGGGAGCCTGGAGTGTTCCAAACTTCTCGAAGCAACAGGTGTTTGGGCTGAGCCAACCACCCTTACTCCCCTCCCGGCCCCATCGCTTGCCCAGCAACGGGCTTCCCCTGCTGTGATTGGCTGCTTTCCTTGGTCCTGACCGAAGTCTGCCTAGCAGCACAGGGACTGACGCCCCACAGCTACATGGAAACCAATTGTGCAGCCCTGACTATAAATACCCCACAGCAGCTATGCCAGCCAATCACCCTCCTGGAGGATTCCCTTCCCAGATCTTGTTTCCTCCCTCCGTCAGCCGGGATGCTGCCAGCTGTGCCCGCAGGAGATGGCCTCCCTGTCCTCACCTGAGTCTGGCCTGGGGCTCCAGCCCAGCATGCCACATCACCCAATGTGCCACATTGGCACATTTAGTGGACCTGGCCCTTGGCCGACTAATAGGAGCCTCAGGGACCTGGCTGGGCCTGTTCACAGGAGAAGGCTGGAGCAGGCAGGCTTTTCCAGAGCAAGACCCTGACAGGTGGATCACAAGTCCCGACTAGCTCAGTGCCCGCCCACCCACCCACCTTGCCTGGCTTCTGCTGGGGCCCAGGCATGGGAAGCACTGAGTGGTCCCTCTGGTTGGGTACCCAGGGAGAGTCACCTGAATGGAACCTGTTCAGGCCAGCACCCCAGAAGCATGCTTATTCCCAGACCAAGGCACTGGTCCCAGTGGTCACTTTCAGTGGCAGGTCCACTGCAGGCCAGTGGGAAGCCAGAGGGAGAAGATGGCAGGCAAGGGTGGGCGTGGTGGGGAACCTCTGGTGCCACAACCCTACACCTGGCCCCTCCACTGCCCCTCTGAAGCAGAGGTCCAAGGGCAGCCTAGTAAGACCAGGCCACAGCCTCAGCTGTAGAGAGAGGACAGAGGAAAGATCATGCTTCTTGTAGGAGGGGCGGGTAAGCCTGTGAGTTCCCCCTTCATGGCCTGTGGCATGAATGAACCATCTCTCCACAGCAGCCTGACCCCACTAGGCTCTTAGGACAGCTCTCTGTCCCAGGGACAGAAATATCCCTAGTGTGTGGAGAGAACTTGCAGATAGTGGGTTCCCTGTAAATGTTTATGAAACCAAACCACACTTCACATCTTCCCAATTCCTAGGCTGGAGTAGAAGGCAGGCTGGCCCCATTTTTCTCTGACAGAGGCAGGATTCAGAAAACTTGGAGCCAAATCCCAGGTCAGAACCAGCCTCTACCCCTCATACCTCTTCAGAGAGGTATGAAGATCAATGAGGCATCCATGTATGGCAAGTGCTTTGGAAACTGCCTGGTGACACCAAAGTCTGGAATTATGGCTACATAGACCATGGAAGGCTTCAACAGCCTGCTCTAGAAGAAAACCAGTGTGTGCCATCACCTGCTGAGAGCATGAGGGGCGTGTGCACAGGCATTTGCCTCCATGTTCAGGTGTGGAACTGCGCCGGTTCACAGGTGTACAGGACGTGGACGTGCTCAGCCCCTGCCAGCACTCCTTTCTCGCAGATACATGCAGCTCCCTGTTGTGCCCAAAATAAATTCCACCGTGGTCCCAGTGGTCACTACAGGCTTCTCTGTCTTCCTTAAATAGGAAACCTGGCGGAGAAGCAGCACCTTCAGCAACCTCAGGTCATCACTTCCTATGACAACCAAGGTAAGTCATTCACGGTTAGTCATGACCTCGCCTGCAGCTGTGCACCCCAATCCACTGCCCTGGCCAGAAACAGCCTGCAGTGTGGAGCTCAGGCCGCAGGGAGCAGGGTCCTCTCTGCCCCGTGGATGTTGGAGCACCCTTTTCCTTTCCCTGCATCCTACAGGAAGCAATAAGAGGCTGCAGGGTCAGAGTCTACCCCTACCAGGGGACCAAGAAATAAAGTCCTTGGGCCACAGAGCTCACTGCTGTCATCATCATCGTCATCACTGTCATCACTATAGCTAACATTTATTAGTTGCTAGGCTATTTACATGTGTATTCTTATGTAAATTAAGCAATCCTATTGGATAGGAACTCTTACTATTCTCATTTTACAGATGAGTAAACTGAGGCTTGGAAAGGCTGTCATGTGTCCAAGATCACATGGGCAGCGAGAGTCAGAGCCAGGCAGTCTGACCCCGTCAGCCCCAGCACGGCCTCAGCTGTTACCCTTCACATGGCTCTGCTCCCGCGGCTCCCTGGAAGCCAGCCTCCCCCGCTGGCTCCTGACATCCAAGCCCTCCCTCGTCCTGAGTCACAGCAGTCCTTTGGCCTCTCCTCCTGACACTGACTCTTCCCAGGCCTTCTACCCGATTCGAGTTTGCTGCAGCAAGGCGGGGTGAGAGGGCCCTTCCCTGGGAAGCTTCGCTTTCATTTTCGGGGACAGGCTCTGGGGGCTCGGGGAGGGCGGGCGAGGGCACCACTGACTCTGCAGTTGACTGGACTGAGAACTTGGTGGTACAGGGACAGGAGGGCTCCACAGCCACAGCTGGAGGTGGGTCCAGGTTAGACTCCCTGCCCACCTTGGTAACTGCTCTGCATAAGGGGACAGGTGTCTGAGAGCTCTCACAGGCTCAGCCCCAGGCTCCACGTGGTTGTTCTTAGTGCTGATGTCCTCACCTGTGAGGACTTGTCTGATCACATCTGGGGGCAGTGGACTACCCTGACCCCATGAAGCAGAAGGACTGTGGAAGCCCTGGGGGATCAGGGCCTCTCGGGGAATGGTTCTGTGAAACCCAGGCTGGCCCAGCATCTGCACAGGAAGGTGCCGGTAGGTAGTGACGAAGGGCCAGCCAGCTCAGGTCGCCAGCATGCAGGAGTTGTCTCTCCATGCAGTCCAGATCAGTATCCTTTTAGGCCAGAATTCCTGGGAATACGGCTCCAGGACAGGCCTTAGAGCTCACTCTGTGGACCCACCAAGACCTGCCACCTGCCCTGAGCACCACAAGGACAAGCCTGGCCCTCACTGCTGGTCTGAAATGGACCCAACTGAACATGGCACCACAAAACAAGATCTTGCTAAGCGAGTAGATTAGCAACCACTTATCTCACTTAGTGAGCGAAACACGCAAAGGCCCCTGTCCTCATGCAGCTGACATCCCAGTGAGGGAGGACACACAGTCCTAACAAGCAAAGCACAGTGAGTCAGATAAGACCCAGCGGGATATAAAGCAGAAAGGCTGATGGGGGTGTGTGCGCAGGGTTGTGTATTAGTTGGAGGGGTGCGCAGGGTTGTGTATTAGTTTCCTACAGCTGCTATAGCATATTTCCACAACTCTGGTGGCTGGAAACAATACAAATGTATTTCTTTTGGGCCAGGAGCCCAAAATCAGTCCTGGCTCCCACGTTCAGGCGTGTAACTGAGTTCGTTCCCGGGTGTGCATGCTGTGAGGGTGTGCACAAGTGTAGGCCTGTGGTGCTCTGTCCGTGTCCCAGAGAGCTGGGCAGTTCACGTCACCGTCTAGCATGCTCGCTTCTGGGTTGTCACAACTCACCACTTCTTGACTGCGGCATCCTGGGCAGAACACAGCACATCTCTGTTGAACACCTCGCCAGGGTCTGTTTAAGGGTGTTTTAAAAATCACAACTGCGGGCCGGGCGCGGTGGCTCACGCCTGTAATCCTAGCACTCTGGGAGGCCGAGGCGGGCGGATTGCTCAAGGTCGGGAGTTCGAAACCAGCCTGAGCGAGACCCCGTCTCTACTAAAAAAATAGAAAGAAATTAATTGACCAACTAAAAGTATATATACAAAAAATTAGCCGGGCATGGTGGTGCATGCCTGTAGTCCCAGCTACTCGGGAGGCTGAGGCAGGAGGATCGCTTGAGCCCAGGAGTTTGAGGTTGCTGTGAGCTAGGCTGACGCCACGGCACTCACTCTAGCCTGGGCAACAAAAAGTGAGACTCTGTCTCAAAAAAAAAAAGAAAAGAAAAGAAAAAAATCACAACTGCCTTAGCTAAGGTTTTCCTGGCTCTCAGCTACTTCGGGGAAAAAATTCCAAGGCAAAAAAATCTATGTTGTCAATGTAGCAATCTATTGTAGAAAAAGTGAACAAACCCCTAAGCCATTGATGACAAATATCTCTCATGAATGCCACAGCCCCGACACACACATACATCCATGTGCACACACACACTCACACACAAGCACCCCTGACAGTCTTTGTTAATTGATGACTTCAGGCAGCCACTTCCAACCAGTCAGAGTTAATGAACAACATGGAACCTGTTTGCCATCCTGCATTAGGTGTTCTGAGAAAATTGGGCCTTTAGATAAATCCTGATTGAAACCTGAAGAAATCCAGAGAGAAGATGCCAGGTAGGAGAAATTTGCTGACTGAGCAAACGGCAGACCCGGGGCAGCGCGCACACAGACATGCTTGGCTTGCCTGTGTGCATCCCCATTTCCAAGAGGGCAGGAGAGGAAGGGGAGCCAGCAGGATCCAGAGGAAGGGCCTGGGAGCCCCTTCTTAGGGTTAGCAGAAAGCAATCACTAACACACTTTTACTAAGATGACCAAAGCTGCAGCTTCAGAAATGTTATGTGGTTGACAGCTGGTAGTGCTGGTGCATGAGAGAGGCCAGCCAGGTGACCTGGAGTCCCAGGAAGGGCCTCCTTTAGGTTTGGTTGTGAGGGTTAATGGTCAAGATTGGTGGAATGGTATCTGGTTGTATTTACTGTTTAGATATGACTATGAAATTTGCTACAAATGCTGTTCTACTCTCTTTAATTAGAGATTGGTCAAATTAATATTTTTTCTTAAATTAAGAGTTTTGTTTGATACAAGAATGTCATGGCAAACTGTTTCCACTTCATGCCCTTAGTATGCAATGGAGCTATATTGTGAATGCTGCTCACCTTGAGACAATGTGCCCAGCCCAGGCCCAGTTCCTGGAGCCAGCAAAGCCACCCAGATGTGCCTTACACAGCTGCAAGTGAGGGCAGGAGTCACCCTGCCCCACACATCGGGGCGGCCGAGAGCTCTGCTGGTTGTCTTCAGGGAACGCTAACGCAGCAGCACAGCTTCAGAGGAGAGCCAGGAAGTGGGATTCAGGAAAATATTGGATACCAGCCCCTGCCCAATGGGAAAGAGGAATTGCAGAGAGGAGAAAAGGGATTAGGAATGGTGGTGGATGGAGATTCCAGGCCAGGGCCATGTTCTAAAAGTGAGACTACCTCAACAACCCAGCCCTGGAAGGGCTTTAATGACATTTTGTTTTTCAGCTTGATCATTCTTTGACAAAGAGAATTAGAAGTGGTTGGAAGTACCTGGACGTTATGAGAAGTTTGGGGAAGAGGTTTGTTATTGAACCCTATTCCAACAAGTTGTTCACTCTTGCAGCTTCTCTACGTTTATGGAGATTGTTCCACTCTAGCATTTTCCAAGTTGTGTTTGACAAAATAGTGCCAGGTTGAATAGAGTTCTTTGCTGCGGACCTTCTCAGACCATTGCGTATTGTGATCTACAAGGGCGGGGGCCCTGTTTCTCAATTCGTTCTTCACAAGGCATCTTGTAGCCAAGTGCTGCTTGGCACCCACTTTGAAAAACACCTCGGAGTGTTTTTCAGGTGAAGAAAGTGAAAAGGCAAAGGTGAGCAGGCCCATGCCTGTGCACCACGAGAAGACACAGGCAGCATTTGCTGCCACATGGCAATAGTGTCCGATCCTGTGACCAGAGCTGAATTAGGCCTTGAACTCTGAAATGCCCACTGTCTCCATTATAGACTCACAAGACTGATCTTCTCTGACAGTGAATGTGCTAGGAACACTTCAAAATGAATATTAGCGCCTTCAAAGCAATGCCTTGAGAGGCCACATTGTATCTTTTCAAATTGTTTAAGAATTACCTTCTTTGGCATCCAGAGCAAGTTTACGAGCTACACAAGAAAGTCAGAATTATTTTTCTATGAAAAATAATTGCAACACATTTAGCAGGCAAAGGCTTAGTAAATGGAGCTCTTACAAAATCAATAAGGAAAAAGCAATAAATCAATAGGAAAATAGCCAATTCATGAAATAAGAATTTAAATATAAATAAATATATGCAAAGAACACTACAGTAAAAATTAAAGAAATACAAAGCAACAAGGTATCATTATTTATTGATAAAAATTTAAAAGATTGATCAAATCAAACATCAGTGAGTATATCACTGGTTTACATTACAAACCACCACAAAACTCAGCGACTTTAAACAATAAGCATTTACAAGCTCACAAGTCTTCAGGTTGGCTTGATGTTCTTCTCATCTGAGCTATGACCAACGGATCTGGGATCTTGGCTGGGCTGGCTTCTGTGCTTGCTGTCAGCTGGCGGGTTGGCTGGACACCAGCTGGTCTAGGATGGCCTCACATGAGAGGCTCTGCTCTGCTCCACGGGGTCTCTCACCCACAGTCTGGCTGATGCACATGGCAGGCCTGGCTGGGATCTCAAAAACAAGAGCAGAAGCTGCAAAGGCTCTTGAGGCCTAGGCTCAAAATTGTACAACATCACTCTGCCACATGCTAATTGGCTGAACCAAGTCTTAAGGCCAGCCCTAATTCAAGGGGTGGAACAAAAGAGCCATCATTGGGAAGAAGTACAAAGTATCATGGCCAATTTTTTGATCAACCACAGCAACAATGAGCAAAATGGGCATTCTCTTGCACTATGGGTAGGATGATAAACTGATTAATCATTTATGGGAAAAGATTGCCAGTATCTAACAAAACCCATAAACATTTCCATATTCTTTGATCCATTTTTAAAAATTTATTCAAAGGAACTAAGTTGCAAAGTGCGTAAACATGCATGTATCAGAGTGTAGATCGCATCGTTGTTTCTAAAAGCAAAACGTTTTGGAAAAGCTAAATATCCAACAAAAGGTAATTACTTATCCAAATTATAAACCATCTATAAAAAAGAAGTACTATGCAGCCACTTAAAATGATGACATATGGCTATATTCATTTTTAAGTAAATACTTAAATGAAGAAAGCAGGTTACAAAAAGCATGTTACTATAATCCTGCTTTAAAATTTTAAATGTAGAAATGAAGTCTTAAAAGAATTTTCATTTTCTACTTTATATCCTTCTGTGCCATCCAATTTTTTGTTTTGTTTTAACTCTGCTTATGGTTTTTTGTGTGGTTGTTATTTTTGTTTTTATTTTTATTTTATTTAAATAAACAGACAGTAAAATTAAATTTTCATGGTGTATGGTTCTGAGTTTTAACACATGCATAGACTCATGTAATCACCACCATATCAGGATATAGAGCAGTTTTGTTACTCCCCCAAAATTCTTTTGTGCATACTCTAAACCTCCTTTCACTCCTCAGAGTTCTTTTGTATTGTTTAGAACTATTCCCTGATATGGATGTACCACAGGTTGTTTATTCATTCACGTTGAAATGTTAAAAGACATTTAGGTTGTTTCTGATTTGGGGTGACTATGAATAGAGCTACCATATAAACATTTGTGTACGGGTTTTTGCATGAGCATAAGTTTTCATTTCTCTGGGATAAATGCCCAAGGGTACAATTTTTAGGTTGTATGGTAAGTACATGTTTTGTTTTATAAGAAACTGCCAAACTATTCTGCAGAGTGGCTGTTCTTTTTTACAGTCCCAACAGCAATGTATAAGATCTAGTTTCTCTGAATCCTTGTTAGCATATGGTATTATCACCATTTTTAAATCACAGTTGTCCATTTGTATACGGGAGGGATCGGTTCCAAGATCACCCGTGTATAACTGAATCTGCGCCTGCTCAAGTCCATCCACCCTGCATATATGAGAAGTTGGCCCTCTGTGTATGCAGGTTTTGCATCCCACAAACACTGTACTTTCTATCTGCCTTTGGTTGAAAAGAAGCCACATGTAATGGACCTGTGCAGTTCAAACCTGTGTTATTCAAGGGCCAACTGTATATTACTGGTTTTCTAATAGATGTGGTATCTCATTGCGGTTTAGTTTGTATTTTCCTAGTGGCTGATGATGCTGAACGTCTTTTCATGTGCTTATTTTCCATCTGTAATCTCTTTTATGGTAAAATATCTGTTCTTTGGCCCTTTTTCGAATTGGATTGCCTTTGTGCTTTTGTAAAACATCATTTTGCCATATTTGTGTGGGCCTATTCTTGTCTCTCTATTCTGTTCCACTGATCCTTTTGCCAATATCGCACTGTTGTTATAATAGTAGCTGTATTAATACGTCTTAAAATCAGATAGTAGGAGTCCTCAATTTTTTTTTCGAAACTTGTTTCATTATTCCAGTTTCTTTACTTCCAAATTTTAGAATCACCTTGTCTATCTCTACAAAATTCCCTGAAGGCATTTGATTGAATTTGCATTAAATCTATAGATCAATTTGGAGAGAATTATCAACTTGACAATATTCAATCTTCCAATTCATAAATATGATATGTCTCCCTATTTATTTAAGCCCTCTCTAATTTGTTCAATCATATTCTGTAGTTTTCAGCATACAATTCTGCACATGTTTGTTTGGGTTTGTTGTTGTTGTTGTTTTATTTTGTTTTTGTTTTTTTAGAGACAGTGTCTTACTCTGTTGCCCAAGTTGGAGTAGAGTGCAGTGGCCTGATCATAGCTCACTGTAACCTTGAACTCCTGGGCTCAAGAGATTCTCCCACCTCAGCCTCCCAAGTAGCTGGGACTATAGGTGTACATCATCATACCTCGATAATTTTTTTCTTTATTTCTTTCTTTCTAATTTTTTTTTTGTAAAGACAGGGTCTGACTGTGTTTCCCAGGCTGGTCTCAAACTCCTAGCCTAAGCAATCCTCCCACCTTGACCTCCCAAAGTGCCGGGATTACAGACATGAGCCAGCACTCAGTTTTTTGTTTTCAATTTATACCTAAGTATTTCAAATTTTGGAGCTATGGGAAATGATTGTTTATAAATTCAATTTTCAATTGCTAATTGCCAATATGGAGAAGTACAATTGATTTTTGTGTGATAATCTTGTATGCCGTGACCATGTTAAACTCACTTATTAGTTCTAGGGACTTTTTCTTATAATTACTTGGGATTTCCTATGTAGATAGACTTATTTCTTCCTTTCCAATCTGTGTGACTTTTATTTCTTTTTCTTATCTTATTGCACTGGGTAGGACTGCTAGTACAATGTTATTAGGAGCAGTGAAAGTGGACATCCATGACTTGTTCTGAATGGTATGTAGTTATCATACCATTTTCTACAATTAAATATGCTGTTAGCCATATGATTTTTGTAGATACTCTTTTTTCAGATTGAGAAAGTTCTATTCCTAGTTTGTTGCGATGTTTTATCATGAATGGGTATTAAATTTTGTCAAATGCTTCTTCTGCATCAATGTATATGATCCTGTGGTTTTTCTTCTTTGGCTTGTTAATGTGGTGAATTATATTCATTGATTTTCAAATATTGAACCAGCTCTGCATTCCCAAAATAAACCACCCATGATTGTGGTGTATTATTCTTTCATTATATTGTTGAATTTAACCTTATAATATTTTATTGAAGATATTTATATTTATGTACATAAAGATATTGATCTGTAGTGTTGTTTTCTTATCTTGTCTCTATCTGGCTTTGGTATCAGATTAATTCTAGCCTCCTAAAATGGGTTGTTAAGTGTTCACTCCTCTTCTGTTTTCTGAATGATCCTGTGGAGAATTGGTGTTTTTTTTTTTTAATGTTTGTTAGAATTTACCACTGAATCCATCTGGACATAGTTTCTTTTTTTTTTTTTTTGGAAGGGTTTTAAACTATAATACAAGTTTAATTTTAAAAATAGATATGGGAATATTTAAATTATCTACTTCTGGCATGAGTTTTTGTGGTAGTTTGTGACTTTCAAGGAATTGGTCCATTTCACCTAAATTATAGAATTTATGAGCATAGAGTTTTTTGTATCGCCTTATTATTATTTCAGTATGTGTGAGAGTCTCTAGTGATGGCCTTCATTTCATTCCTGATATCAGTGTCTTGACTCCTGGTTTGTGTCTTGCCTCTTTTTTTCTTGGTTATTTTAGCTAGAGGCTTATCAAATTTACTGATCTTTTAAAAGAACCAGCTTTTGGTTTCATTCATTATTCTTTATTGTTATTGATTTATTCTGTTTATCATTTCTTTTCTTCTGCTTACCTTGGATTTCATTTGCTGTATTATTTCTCTATTTTTGTAAAGAAGTTTAGATTATTGATTTGAGACCACCTTCTTTTCTGATATAAGAATTTAATGCTACCAGCCTGAGCAACATGGTAAGACCTCATCTCAAAAAAATAAATAAATAAATAAGAAAAATTAGCCAGGTATGGTGACACACGCCTATAGTCCCAACTACTTGGAAGGCAGAGGCAGGAGAATCACTTGAGCCCAAGAGTTCAAGTTTGAGGTTGCAGTGAGCTATGATTGTGCCACTGCACTTCAACCTGGGTGACAGAGTGAGACCCTATTTCTAAGCACTGCCTTGGCTTCATCTCACATATTTTGATATGTTGTATTTTCATTTTTGATGAGTTCAAAATATTTTCTAATTTTCCTCGAGATTTCCTCTTTGGTCGATGGATTATTTGGAAATATGTTACTTAATTTTTAAGGGTTTGGATATTTTCCAGTTACTTTCTGGGGTTTGGGGGGGGTTTTTTACCTCTAGTTTAATTCTATTAATGTCAGAGAACAGTTTTGTACAAATTCCGTTCTCTTCAACTTTTTAAGGTTTGTTTTATGACCAAGGAAGGATATAGCTCATCTTGGTGAATATTCTTGAATATTCACTTAAATGTATATTCTGCTGGTATTGGATGGAGTATTCTATAAACATTAAGAAAATCCTGTTAGTTGATGGTTAGTTGATGTTCAGTTCTTCTATATATTTGTTGATTTTCTTCCTATTCATTCCCTCAATTACTGAGAGAATAGAGCTGAAATCTCCAACTGTAACTGTAGATTTTTCCATCCCTCCTTTCAGTTCTATCAGTTCTTGTTTTATATATTTCAAAACTTTGTTGTTAGATGTATACATATTTAAAATTGTTATGCCTTCTTGGTGAATCAACTCTTTTACCATTATGTATTTAGTAATATTCTTCTATCCCTGATATTTTCCTTACTCTGAAGTCTACTTCATCTGTTATTAATATAGCAACTCCAGCTTTCTGGGATTTTTTTTAACCAACCCATATCGCAATAGTTAAATTTGGATCCTTGGAAACAGAATATAGTTTAATCTTATTTGTTTATCCTTTCTTACAATCTCTATTTTTTAATTAGTGTGTTTGGACCACTTATACTTATTGTAATTATTGATACATTTGGATTTAGGTATCCTACTTTATTATTTGCTTTCTGTTTGTTTCTTTGTTTCCCCTCTCCTGCCTTCTTTGCTATTTTTGTATTTTTCAGAATTACATTTAAATTTATTTATTAAGTTTTTTACTATATCATTTTATATAGATCCATTTGTATTATATGTACTTGATGTCTCACAATCTAATTATAATTAATATTTACTTCTCAAGTAGAATGAGGAAATTTTACCCTCGTATAGGTACATTTACTCTCCCACTCTATGTCATAGTTATCACATATTTTACATCTACATATATTGAAAACCTATCAGACAATGTTATAATCATTGCTTTCAATCATCATTTGTATTTTAAAGAACTTATAAGGAGAATAGACCAATATATTTACCTAGATATTTATCATTTCTATTCCTCTTCCAACTTTTCCTTTGATACCATTTCTATTCTATCTGAAGAACTTCCATTAACATTTCTTTTGGAGCAAGTCTGTCAATAATACATTCTCTTGGTTTTACTTTATCTAAGAATGTCCTTATTTGTACCTTTAGTCTTGAATGATATTTTTACTGGATGTATAATTCTGTGTTGATAGTTTATTTCTTTCAACATTTTGAAAATACTTTTCCACATCCTTGTAACCTGGTTTCTGATAAGAAATATGCAGCAATTCTGAATGTAATACATCACTTTTCAATGACTACTCTCAGGGTATTTTTCTTTGTCTTCAAGAGTTTTATTATAATGTATCTGGACTTGGATTTCCTTGTGTTTATCCTATTTGGGATTTGCTGAGTTTCTTGAATCTGTAAGTTTATGTCTTCACCAGATTTCAAAAGTTTTCATCATTCCTCAACTATTTTTTCTGCACCACAGTATTTCTCCTCTCCTTTTGACACTTCAGTGACATGAATGTTAAGCTACAGATCCCTTAGGTACTGTTCATGCTTTCTGTTGTTCAAATTGAATAAAGTATTTTTTTAAAGAGAGATGAGGTCTTGCTCTGTCACCCAGGATGGAGTGCAATGGCATAACCACAGCTAACTGTAAGTTCAAACTCATGCTGATCACTCCTCAGGTGATCCTCTTGCCTCAGCCTCCCAAGAAGCTAGGGCTATAGGCCATGTGCCACCACACCTGGCTAATTTTTAAAAAAATTTCTGTAGAGACAGAGTGTCCTATGTTGCCCAGGCTGATCTCAAACTCCTGGCCTCCCAACTTGCCCTCCCAAAGTGCTGAGATTATAGGCATAATCTACCACACCCACCTGAATAATGTCTAGCAGTCTATCTTTAAGTTCTCTGACTCTTTACTCTGTATCTCCATTCTTATATTGAGCATATATATCAGAGAATGTTTAAAAATATATTTTTCAGTCTAAAATTTCAATTTTTTTCTTTTTTATATCTTCTATTTTTTGCTGATACTTTATATCTTTTCATTTATTTCAAAACTGTTTGCCCTCACTTTTTGAAGCATGGTTATCATGGCTGTTTTAAAGTCTTTGTCTGATAATTCCAAAATCTGTGTCATCGTGGAATTAGTATCTGTTGATTATCTTTTCCTTCTCAAATTGATATTTTCCCAGGTCTTCCTGTGCTGAATAATTTGGAATTGTAGCCTTTGCAATACTATATAGATCTGCCCTGCATGTGCACCATCCAGTGGCCATTCTGGGACCTGGGGATTGGTCTACCCCATAGTTGAGTCCTCAAAGACTGTGGTATGATGTTTAGGATAAGATCCATGCATGCACAGCTCAGAAGGGACAGCAGAAGTTCATCCACAACCTTATGGAATTGCTATCTCAAGCTCTCTCCTCTTCAGGATCCATTTCATGGTCCTCTGACCAAAAAGCTGGACCTTTCCTTACCCCGCCATGCATTTCTCACAACTGTGTCTGCATCTGGGACCAATCAGCAGAAAACAGAGAAAAAAAATGAGTATTTGCCCTTATACTCTCAGTATTATAGGTTCTCTGGTAAGAGAAAAGAGTTATTCTCCTCCCAAAGTCTTAGGTGCCTGCCTGGCCACCAACATCATTGCTGCCACTGTTACCAACAGAATTGTTTAGGTGCTGAGTTGGCAAATAACAGATAAAGAAGGAAAAAACAACAAAAGATTTCTTCCTCTCTGTCTCTTAAGGGGGTCCCTTTTTTCACTCCTCAGGCCAGAAAGAGAGTGTTTATCTTGAATGTTTTTTCTCTGCACCTATTGTGCACTTCTGGGTTGGAAAATGCCTTTTATCCTGTCTAGATAATACCAGAAGGGGAAGAAGAATGGCAGGTTTACTGCCAATTTGGTACTGTTTTAAATTCTGGTCTTCATTGCCAATCAGCCTTCTATCATGCACTTTGCAGAGTCTCAAATAGTTGTCCTGTGCATTCTGTCCAGGGTCTATAGTTGCATTCAGTGGGAGAGACAGGGTCGTCAAGTGTGCTTACTCCATCTCACCTGGATCTAGAAACTATCTGCTTGGTTTGTTGTTGTTTTGGTTTTTAAAAAGAAACAAGAATTATTTGTATACAAAAATGACAGTTCTCAAACCAATTGTATTTTGTTGTTCAACTATTGGTCATGAGACATTCACCCTTTTCTGGCAGCATCTAGCTGAGAATATTACCTCCTTTTTCTTTGCAGGAACACAGCTAACTGTAGAGGTCCACCCTCGAGACGCCATGCCCCAGTTCCTCAAGAAGTTCTCCTTGGCTAAACGTATGTATGTACAGGGCTGCCTGTGGTGGAGGGCTGGCAGGGAGAATTGAGGGCAGCTGGGTGGGCCAGACTCCCAGGCATCTTCTGAGGGAAAGAGAAGCATGACGTGGGCCTACAAACTGGGAAAAGACAGAGACATAACAGCTTCATCCTGGGAGACTTTCTTCTCCACACCCAGCAACCACTGTTTTTGTGCCTCTCTGGAATTAGGCATGGCTAACAACACCAGGCATTTAGCTGAAGATGCATGTCATGACAAGAGTGTTTTTGCTCTTGTTTTTAGACGTCATTTGTTGACTGCCTAAAAAAGTGGCATACACAGTACTAAGTACTTTATATTTATCAACTTTTAACCCTCTGACATATAATGATATTATCCCCACTTTTCGTATCAGCAAAGTAAGTCTCAGAGAGGTAAAATAACTGGCCAAGTCACCCAGCTAGGAAGTGGGTCAGGACTCTGAAGCTCTGATCTTAACCACCATATTTGGCTGCACTCAGTGTAGTACATGGAATTCCAGGTCCAGGACCATGATGTCTCCTCCAGTCCCTTCTCTGCCTCTCCCTGCATCTGTCCATCTCATGGCTAAATAGAGGGCTCAGAAGGAATGCAGGCCAAGGAGCAAAGGCTGTAGAACAGCGGAGGCTCAAGTCTTCTTCATGTCCCCTCAGTGAGCCAAAGTCCTCCAAGCCTGTCCAGTCGTGGAGTCTTCAGGAGTCAGGATCTCAGGGGGAAGTCCAGCAGAGAAGGGGCAGGCTCAGGGGTCGACTGGCTGGGTTCATATATTTCAGCTGTGTGATCTTGGGCAAGTGGCTTAACCCTTCTTCAGGGCTCTATTTTCTCATCTATAAAGGAAGAAAATATGTAAACCTTCCTCATAGGATTTTTGTGAGGTTAAATAGTAAATATAAAACCCAGGCCAGGCATAGTAAGTACACAAGAAATGCTAGTTACTGTTTTGAACCCCCATCATTCTATCAAAAATATATTAACAGGTGGAAGCCAGGCACAGCAGAAAAATTCCTTTCTTTTTGCCCATGGAGTCTAATAACTATTGACTACCATTCTGCCTTAACAGACCTGAATTTATAGGATACAGTTGCCCTTTAATCCTCCCAAGGAATAATTTAATAGTTATCTGGCCAGGTGCAGTGGCTCATGCTATAATCCTAGCACTTTGGGAGACCAAGATGGGAGGATTGCTCAAAACCAGGAGTTCAAGACCAGCCTGAACAACAGTGAAACCCATCTCTACACAAAATAAAAAAATTAGGCAGACATGGTAGTGTGCACCTGTAGTCCCAGCCACTTAGGAAGCTGAGGCAGGAGAATCGCTTGAGCCCAGGAATTTGATGTTGCAGTGAGCCATGATGATGCCACTGCAAACTCTAGCCCCAGGTGAAAGAATAAGACCCTGTCTCAAAAAAATAATAATAATAATTACCTGACCTTTCTGGGTTTCAAACATTGTACAGATTGCTTTTCCCTCCCCTTATTTTTGTTTTTATCCATGATCAGTTCTTGTTCTAGGATTATCTGGCAGTGAATTCATTAGTGCTTTCAGCATTGCCAGCTGTGTTCCAAGATGGGAGGAGAATCCAGAGGAGGGTACATTCCAGGAGGACCCACTGAATAATCCAAAGTATTGGGGTCCGAGCAACTGCTAACTCTGTTTGTGGACCACAGCTCCCTTTCTTGTGATCCACTACCTGGTTCATGGCAGAACTTCCTGCAGCAGTTCAGTGGTGGGTGGGATAAGAGCAATGAGGATATAAAAAGAAGAGTGAAGAGGAGGGGTCAGAAGCATGGACCACCACACAGAGAATCATCAGTGCTTATATTTCTGTTTCTTCTGAAGTGTCTCTACCTCTGACCTTTGGGATATTGTAGGTTTACAAGGTGATAAAAATGGAAACACAAGACCCCGGCAGCCTGGAGGGAAAGATGCCCATGGTAAGTCCCAGAGCCTTCTCCAAGGCCATTCCCAAGAGACCAGATTGATTTAGCCTTATGGGCCAATCTCCAATCAATTGGCAATGACTTCGAGGGGCTTAGAGTCTGGGGCTACCTCTGAGTTCAGGGGGAGAAGAGTGTCATGATTGATTAACATTAAGTGCCATGGGTAAAAAAGGAAAAATTTCATACTCCAGATGTCATCCCAAAGCTGAAGCATAAACCCCACCAATAAAAAGGCAGCCTATTAAGGGGAATATATTAAAAACAGAACTCCAAATTCTGTTAACTTTAAATGAAATGAATGCCAAATGTATTTAAGGTAGGAGGCCTGTGAGTAAGCAGAGTGAGACAGGGGAAGAAACTCTGAGTGGGGTGGCAGATGACCTGGGTTGAAATCCAGCTTTTGCCCCTCATTTGCCTTCCCTCAGCCTCAGTTTCCCCCTCAGCATAGACCAGATGGCATCTCAGGCTCAATGCAGTTCAGCACTTCTTCCCACTGTCTTGCTTTAAAATTATTTAGTTAATGACATGGGTATTTTAAATACCCATTTATGCAAAATAATATTTGGATCTTATATAATCTGCTCAGAAGATAGATTTAATGAGGCATATGTATTTTTAATGTTCAGATATTGTAAAATGGAACCAAGAAAGGGGAAAACTAGTAATAGGGTTTTCAGTCCCCTGTTGGGAATGCCATCCTTCTTCTAAATGGGGGCAGGGAGACCTCATTTGCAGAGCTATGCTGAGTGGAAACCTGTTAAATGTCCGAGTCCACTTCAGGCTGGGTGGCTGCTGGCCCTGGTCAGCATCGGCCTTGAGTCTTTTCTCCTCCCCGTGTCTTTGTCCCAGCAACCTGACTCAAGGCTCCGTCTCTGGGCGGGAAGCTTCCTGTGAGAGAGGCTGGCCATAGAGGAGTGACTCTGAGGCCCAGCCTCCCTCGGTAACCGGGACACTGCCATACAGCAGGGGTGCTCCAGTCTCCAGCTGACCATGGCAAGGCAGGAAGCCTGTCCTGGTGACAAACAGCCTTCCCTGTGGGACCCAGCTGGCCTGGCCCTGCAGTGCCCTCCTCCCGCACTTGGGCTGCTCCGTGGCACTGCACCCCAGCGCCACAGCCGTGGCACAGACCTCCCTCCTTGAGCTTGCAGGGGCTAGCGGCACTGCCTGCACACTGCCCACAGAGCACCGATTCCTGGGGAAAATAACAGGATCTGCAGAAAACTAAACAGTGGAGAGAAGCAGATTCCATCATCCATATGTCTGGGACTGCCAGTCCCCTGAGGTCCAGCCAGTTTCCTTACTGCTGACTTCCCAGGGTCTGCAGAGAGGCTTATGTTCCCTGCAGACCTCCAAGAGGATGATGGCAGTTGCCATAATTCCCAAATTAATTTGGCCAGGGAACCTTCCAGGAGATATAGGTGTTGGGCTCAGTGTTTTAGGCTTTGAGAATTGTGTTAAAGGTCGACGGTCGCAGCTGCTCAAAGAGGCAGCATGGCCTGGGCCAGGCAGCCCTCCTCAAGGGGTCTCAGGGGCTGACTGAGCTTCCCTGTGTTTCTAGCCTACCCCTGGGATCGGTCCAGCCTGAAATCCATGCCCCTGGACCTGCGGCAGTTTGAGAAACTGGACACCTATGCCTCACAGGTAGGAGAGCTGGGCCCTCTGGCCATGGGCCCCTCAAGATGGCTTAGAGCCTAAGGCAGCAGAGCCTCTCGTCTCTCCTTCTGAGCATATCCTGAGTCACCAAGGCAGATGGCCCAGGAGTGCCTTTTCACAGAGCAGAAGGCTCCAGGCAGCAAACCCCTGCCCAGGACCAGAGGCTACTTTATCGCCCACCCCACCCACGGTCCTTGTGCTCCCACCCCAGGCTACACACCTGGAGCTCTTCCTGGCAGGTGCCCGGCCAGCCTGCCCCTGCCCTCCCCCTTTCCCCTTGGGCGCTGCTGCTGCTGCTGAGACTTGCAGCCCCCAGCCCGTGGAGGAAGGGAGGGAGAGTGAGTGGAGGACCATGCATGCAGACGGTCAAAGCCACTGTGACCACACTCACCTCTGGAGGATGTAAGCTGCCAGCCTCCCCATGCCTCTGGGCCTGGGCATGCCAGGTGTGGGGTGGGAGGGCGGCTGAATTGCTCAGTAGTAGGGAGACATGGTGGTCCTGGGGGCCAAGCAGGAGCTCCGCTCAGAGTCTGATCAGAGGGCCAAGGTGCTGGACCCTTTCCTGGAACCAGAGTGAGCCCTCCGAGGACAGTAAGCAGTATTAGAAAAACAACCCCATGGTTGGCACATAGCAGGTGCTCAGGAACCTTGCTGAGATGATGAGTGAATAGACAGATGCATGGCTCAAGAAAGTCAGGTTAGAGGCAAGGACATTAGTCAGGGACATCCAGCTATCCTGGCAGAAGACATGACCTGTTTTAAGCAGGGACAGAGGACAGGGAGTAGTGGAAAGGCCAATCCTGGGCTGGAGGGAAAGGGTAAGGACCCGTCACCAGTGTGCATGGAGTGGGTGGGAGGCTCCCAGATGGCTGGGTTGAGTCATGGGGGGAGGCCAGGGAGTGCGTCACCATGAGAAGCAGGTTTTAGGGGATGACAAGTGTGTTTAAGGTATGAGGAGCTCTAGTGTCTGTGGCATATCCAGGGGAAATGCCCACCTGTCTTCTGTATATTTGAGCCTGGAGAGGTCTGGGTGGGAAACACTGATTGGGAGTCACCAGAATCCATGAAGAGCTGAGACCATAGGATGGGAGTCATACTGGGGAGGGTGATGGGAGCCCATTGGGCCTGGAGCCACCAAAGAGGCTGGGGCAAGGCGAGGACAGGTCCTGGCAGGCTGGGAGTTGGGGGTGCTCCCTGGGGCAGGCGTGGGCACCAGCAAGAGCTGCACCATCTGTTCGAGTGAGATCCAGACAGACTCCTTTCTGCTACTCCAACATTGCAGCGCCTCTTGCCTCTGAAGGGCCAGCCCAGAGGAGGCTGGAAGGTCAGACAGACTCCTAGAACAAGCAGGGGGGAGGAGTAGGGAGTGCACAGGAGCCCCACAGGGCATGCAGGAGGGGCAGCTGGAGTGACCAGGGCTGAGGAGGAGACAGAGCAAAGGAGGGGAGGAGGGCAGGACCAAAGCAAATCACACGTGGCTGAAGCAGGAGGGAGGATGAGGGCTCATTAGTGAGACTGCCGAGAGTGAGGGAGTGCAGAGGTGTCCAGAGTCTGAGAAAAGCAGGGCACTTTGTAAAGGCCACCAGAAGGGATGGGACAGGCTGCCAGCCAGGCTCAGTGAGCGCTCCCAGGAGCCCAGAAAGGCCAGAGACCCAGCCACAGAGCAGGGGTAGATGGGCTCAGGGAGGTGAAGAGCCAGAAGCCACAGCGCTGAAATGTAGGGTTAAGTCAGGCCCCCAGATTGTGATGCAGACCTGCGATGTCGGGCACCGTTCTAAGCCCTGGGAAGACAAGGACAAAGACAGTGGAGTTGGAGCTGCACATAGAAGATGAAGCAGGAGGCAGCTAGGATAGTGGGTAATGGGCGTCCTGGAGGTATCCTGAGGTCAGAGCGCCAATGTGCTAGGCACGGTCAGCGGGTGGGGCCCTGGAGTCCCTATGCCACTGAAGGGTCATTCCAGGTGTCCCGGAGTACCCTGGAGGTGGGTGGAGGGGAGCGTGGCACCAGTGTGGGGCCGTGCCGGGCTTCTCTACAAAGATCCAGCACGGTCAGGGCTGCCTCTCCAGCAGCCCCAGCCTGTCTCCTCCTGGGACCCCTGTGGAAAGAGCTAATTTGTCTCTTTGTTACTATCCTGGTAAAACATGTATAACTTAAATTTGCCATTTTAGTCATTTTTAAGGGTACAATTCACTGGCATGAATTATATCCCCAAAGTTGTACAACCATCACCACTATCTATTTCCAAAATACACTCATCACCCAAAGAGAAACTCTGCAGCCACTAAGCAATGACTTCTGATTCTCCTCCCACAGCCCCTGGCAACCTCTGCTTACTGTCTGAATTTGCCTAGTCTAAATATTTCATTTAAGTGAAATGATACAGTATTTGTCCTTTTGTGTCTGGCTTATTTCATTCACCATCATGTTTTCAAGGTTCCTCCGTGTTGTGGTATCTACAGAACTTAATTGCTTCTTTATAAGGTTGAACAATATTCCATTGTATGTATATACCACATTTTGTTTATCCATTCTTCCATGGATGGACGCTGCAGTTGTTTCCACCTTTTGGCTATTGTGAATCGTGCTGCAATGAACATTGGTGAACAAGTATCTGTTTGAGTCCCTGCGTTTAGTTTTTGGGGGTATATACCATGGACTGGAATTGCTGGATCATATGGTAATTCTACATTTAACTTTTTGAGAAACTGCCCAAGTGTTGTTCACAGCACCTGCACCATTTTACATTCCCACCAGCAATGTATGAGAGCTCAAATTCCTCCACATTCCTGCCAACACTTGTTATCTTCTGAATTTATTTTTAATAGCCATCCTTGGAGATACGAAATGGTATCTCATTATGGTTTTGATTTGCATTCCTCTCATGCATGACTAATGATGTTGAATATTTTTTTCATGTGCTTATTGGCCATTTGTGTATCTTCTTTGGAGAAATGTCTATTCAAGTCCTTTGTCCATTTTTGGTTATTTGAATTTTTGTGGTTGAGTTGTAGGAGTTATTTATACATTTTGTCATTTAACCCTTATCAGATACATGATTTTTCCCATTCTGTAAGATGTCTTTTCACTCTCTTAATAGTATCCTTTAATGCACAAATTTTTTTATTTTAATGAACTCCAGTTTATCTATTTTTTCTTTTGTTGCATGTGCCTTTGTTGTCATATCTAAGAATCCATTGCCAAATCCAAGATCATGAAGATTTACCTTAGTGTTTTCTATTAAGATTTTTATGGCTTAAGCTCTTATATTTGGATCAATGATCCATTTTGAGTTGATTTTTGTATATGGTGTAAAATAGAGATCCAACTTCATTCTTTTGCATGTGGAAATCCGATTGTTTCTGCGCCATTTGTTAGAGACTATTCTTTTCCCACTAAATGGACTTGGCAACATTGTCAAAAATCAGTTGGCCATAGATGCATGAGTCTATTTCTGAACTCAGTTCTGTTGGTCTATATAATCCATATGCCAGTACCAAACTGTTTTGATTACTATAGCTTTATAGTAAGTTTTTTGAAATTGAGAAGTGAGCCCTTCAACTTTTTTCAAAATTGTTATGAGAACTCCTTGCAAATCCATAGGAATTTGAGGACTAGCTTTACAATTTCAGCAAAAAAAGCTATTAGGGTTCTGATGATATGAAATCTATAGATTGGTTTTGGTCATATTGACCATGACTAGGGGCTGCAGCTGCCCAGATGTCCATGTGGCTGGCCCCAGGATCTACAGAGAAAAGTTGTGGAAGCTCCAGGGCCTGTGTTTCCACTGGTCAGCACCACTTGCCCTGCCCTACCCCTCTTCTCCTCCCTATTTGCCCTCAGCCAGCCTTCATCCTTCTGGACCTCTCCTACTACTTCTCTGCCTGGAGGAGAAGCAGCTCTGGCTGCAGGTGCAGGGTGCTGGGCCCCACAAAGCCCCCTCCAGGCCCTGATACAGCACACCCTCCTGCTCCCCAGGTGACAGCCAAGAGTGGCCTGGACGAGCTGGTGACTGACCTGCTCCAGGAGGCCCACAGTGACTTGGAAAGGGTCCGTGCCATCTGGATCTGGATCTGCCATCACATAGGTAGGCCCACCTGTGGCGTCACTTGCTCTGGAACCCCCTGCTGCCATTTCCTGGGGGCCTCTCCTCCCATCCCATCATCAGTGTGTGTGGAGTGAGAGGGAAGGTAGGGGAGGGGGATGCAGATGGCTGGACTGAGTAACCAAAGACCAACCAAGGAGGGTAAAATTCACTGTCTGCTAACAGTCTCCATGAAGGTTGGTTGGGGATGGGAGGAGATCCCACATGGCCCTCTGCCCACAGCCAGTGGCCAGAGTTGAGGCCACCCAGCAGAATCCTTCCCTCAGTCCTGGCCTCAGACTAAACCTACTCCACAAAGATGGGAGTCCAGAACAGAAGGGCATCTCCAAGAAGGATGGGCATTGGTTGAGGAGAAGTTGCAGCTGTTTGAAAAGTTATTACTACACCAGAAGTTTCACCAGCGCCAGGAAGGGCAGGCTCTCCTCTTCCTGCTCCCATACTGGTGACATCCACCGCAGGTCCCAGCCCAGCCTCCAGGGTTCTCAGAGCCACTGGAGGGGATTTGGGCCTGCACAGCTACCCACAGCTCTCCACAGGACAGCCTTAGAAGCTCACCAGGTCAAGCCAAGGCACGGAGATGGTTGCTAAGGGGCTGCTGCCCCTTGCTGACTTGCAAACACAAGCGAGGTGATGGAGGGCCAAGTTGTGGGGTGGACTCCTAGTCCTTTGACATAAAGACCAGCAGGGCCTTTCCTGACCTGCTGGCACTGGGCGTTTCCTTTGTCCTTGTGGTGCAACAGTTAGGCATGCAGCTTAGAGGATGAGCTCACCTGGTACAGGTAGGAGGTCTGGACAGAGGGCCTAGGGCCACCTGCTCCCAACCCAACCCTGTTGGCTCCATTTGTACCTTAAAGGGACAGGATCAGAAACAGAACACTTGTTAGGACTTTATTTACTGCTCCCACCCCCACACCGACACATACACACATGGTCCCATTGGACACTCAATGGCTACGGTGACTCCAGCCTCAGGGCCTCACCACAGGCCTCTTGCTCTCTTCCCAGTCCCCACACTCCTTTGTTAGTGAAGTGATAGGCTGTGAGAGAGCCACCTTCTCTACTTGGGGGTGAGCTTTAACCACAGCTCACTGTGCCCCATGGGCCAGCGTGAGGCCTTGGCTTGGGGCTGCCTGCACAGTTTCACTGGAATTGCGTGCAGAGCTATGTGATGGGGACAATTGGAGACAGACCCCACCCCGGCATTGTCTTGGTCCCTCCCCCTCCCAAACTCTCCTCAGAGGCCTGAAGGGCCAGGTAGCCCACTCTGCCTAGGCCTTCTCTTCCTCTTGCCACCTGCACAAGAGGTGACAGGTCCCAAATCTCACTAGGGCCAGGGCCCTGCTTCCATTCAGCCCGCCATGGTTTCCTGGGGCAGGGAGAGGGCCTCCTCTCACCTCCACCCCGGTGATCACCACCTCCCAGGCCCTGATTCCTCACGGCCCCTCCTCTGCCCTCCAGAGTATGACATGGCTGCTGCCCAGGAGAAGGACCGCCAGGCCTTCAAACCCACCGACATCCTGCGCAGTCAGAAGACCAACTGCGACGGCTATGCTGGCCTCTTTGAGAGGATGTGCAGGTAGGAGAGGCAGGAGCTGACCCCCAGACCCTATCCCTCTCCCCCTTCTGAAGCGTTGTGTACCTTTGCCCGCATGCCAGGCCTGAAACCTGAGTTTGCAAACTCTGCTCTGGAATCCAAGTGAGTCTTGAAAAGGTCAATCTCTCCCTTTTTAACACCAGCATAATTGACTTTGTACCATCTGCCGGGCTTCGCGATGCATTAACATAATGGCAGATGAATGCACAGAGATAATTTGGTTATAAAAAGCCCTTTTTCCGCCTTCTCCCATCTCTGTGCAGCTGAAGGTTAAAAGAACGACAGGCCTGGGAACGAGAGGACAGTGGCTGCGGACGCCAAGGGGCTGTGAAAGGCCACTCTCGGGGGAGACTAAAGACCTCCCAGCTGAAAAGATTTGTCAGTTGGAAAGCTGAATAAGTAGGAGGCAGCTCCTCTCAGAGCCTTTGGGCTCCATTTTCAGCACTCTGGGAAGTGAGCATGTGGCCAGGTTGCCAGGGTTGGAGACAGCTCTGGCCTGAGCAGGAGAATGGGCCGTTTATGGTTCCCAGTGACTCAGGACAGGCTCGGGGGTGGAGGAGGCCTGCTGACCCCCCACCCCCAGCATCCTGTGCCGGCTCTCTGAGGTCTGCTGATCCCTCCAGGAAATGATCAGCTAGCCCTTGGCTCAGCGCCCCTCCCCAGGAGGTGGTGAATGGCTGCCTACTTCTCTCCAGGCCTCTGGAAGTAGGTCTTCTCAGCCACCCAGATGTCAGCCCACCAGGACTGCAGGTGACAATTCATCAAACCAAATATAAGGAACAGTGAGTCCACAGGCGGGCAGCTGCCAGGCACCAGGAACATGCAGCCTATTCCTGACCTGAGCCCCATTGTACTGTTCCCACCCCATCCCCACTGCCAGCCCCAGGCATGTACCTGGCCGCCTGTTGCTCCAGCCCTCCTGTTCCACTCCCTGCTCTTCCCTTTCCTCACTTCCAAGGCCCATCCCTGAGGCCACAGCACCAGGGGCAACCAGGACAGGTCAGGGTGCAGAGGATGACACCCTGGCCGCTCCCCACCCACTCCTCAGAGCAGCCCTCTGCACCCCTCCATTCCTCCTGCCACTCCCCATCCCACACATAGGAGCCCCCATCTGCCTGGGCGCCTCCGCAGGAACCTGGATCCTCACCGGCCTCCATGCCCAGGTTCCTCTCACCCTGGGGTCCTGAACACGACTAAAGGTTCACACTGTCCCCCAAAGTCTTCCAAACTCTGATCTCAACCACCTTTCCAGCCCTGCATGCTGTGATACTGGGCACTTCCATCTCCTCCTGTGCACCTGCCCTGTTCCTCATGCCTCCCGCCCCGGGCCCCACGCCAGGAGGGCCCCACTCCAGGAGGGCCCCACCACCTTCCCCTCCCCACATGTCCTCGGCACACCTGTATGCCCACTCATACATTGCCTTATGCTTCTATTTAATAACATTTTTAGATTTAAAAAATACTATTTCTTGTAGACGATTTATAAAATGCACTACAGTGAAGGGAAGAAATTATTACTCCGAATCTCACCACTTGCAGCTGACAGTGTTAACATGGTGTCGTTTTCCTTTCCCGACTCAGGTCTATGCATACAGGCATGCCCCATGCGCATTTCTTCTGATCCATCTTATAGGTTTTCTAGGTCTGTATGTGTTTTTAGCTCTCTCTCATTCTGCTTCCCTAATGCATATCCGTCTCAGAATCCTACACCCAGGAGACCGCCAATAGACATTTATATACTAGAATGACAGGAAATGGTAGGATATTCCTAGCAGATTTCTGTGAAATGGGCCTTATTCTCTTTTTAAATAATGAAATAACCACCAGTCAGTTTTCAGCTTTATTTTTGCCTAGCTGCTTTCAGAATGTGATTTTTTTTTTCATCTGATTTTGCAAATTTGAAAACACTTGTGTGTGTGTGTGTTTTTTTTTTGTAAGTTACAGGGTACATCCTTCTTTGTCCACGATGAGCTTTCTAGCATACTGTAGAAGGAGTATCAGATTCAAAGCCAAAAAGGCCTGGGTTTACTCGCTAGTGAGGTGTCCTCCTTTATCCGGCACAAGCATTCTAGCATGCTGTAGGAGTGCCAGGGTTAAAGCCAAAAAGACCTGGGCTCCAGTCCTTAATTTACCCTGTATTAGTTTTCTTCTTTTTCATGAGGTGCTTAACCTCCTGCAGCCTGTTTTCTCATCTGTGTGTTGAGGACTATGTTACCTACTTGGCAGGACTATAAGACCAAACGAGAATGTGCAGTTTGGGGTTTGCTAACCTGATTTGGGGTGTGTATTTTTTAACCTTCCCTGAGTATGGGAGTGCTTTTCTCTGTGGAGCTTTCCTACAGACCATGCTGGCCCACATAGACTCAGGAAACTGACACTTAGCTTGAGTGAAACTGTCAGCTTTGTGCCTGGTCCAGATACTTAACAATGGCCCTATCCTGGCGTACAGCGGATCATTAAAACACATCCCAACATTTTGCATCATTTAAAGTTAGTTTCAACCTGGCAATTACCACGTACAAAATTCCTTACACTGCCAGGGACATGGAAGAATAGCTAACCGTTTCCTGAATCCCTTTAGCTTTTGCTTTAAAGATCAGTAGCCTATCCATGCATCAGTTTCTTATTTCTTTTTACCTTTAAAACTGGCGGAAGTTTGGTAAATTCATTAGCTAATTCCTTAATAACTGAAGACGTGTAATCCACTGTTGCTGATTTATTCCTGAGTGGTTGTCAGAGTGGCCTCTGAGCAAGAGCTGTAGCCCCACGGCCATCATTACTTCCTGCCTGTCCATTCCGCCCACCTCTCTGCAATGGCCTTGTTAAAGATTGATTTCACAAAGTAATTTGGTGGGGGATTCAGATAGTTTCCCATCGCTGGCTTCCTTCTTGTCTTTCCCATGTTATTGACGTGGGCTGTTTCTGTCATTGCCTTTGCTTATAGCTGCTGGTCCAGTTCTTTCTGATTTTCTACCACCAAGCACGAACGTCTCCCTTTTGCCTCAATTGCCCACATCCTTAATTGATTCTGCCTCATTTCTTTGAAAAGCCAAGCTTAATTCCCTGAGTCAGCCCCCTGTAAATCCTCTTCCCCTGCTATTGCGGCTCCAGCACCACCAGCTAGCAGATTGTTCAGGGACTTTGGATAAAGCCATGAGCTTATTGCTAGTTTGAGGCTCTGATGCTGAGGGGGCTGGTTGTCACCAATCAGATGTCGGTTGGGTCACATTCATCCTCCAGCTGTGACAGAGCATGGGCAGGGCATGTACGGGTCAGACGGCTGCTTCTGGTTAGCACAATGTCCCCAACCGTCCAACATCACTTGGCTCCAAAGGCCCCAAAAGATGGGGAGTGGCCTTCTAAGCCTTCTGGGAGATGCAGATTAGCTGGATAACCTCAAATCATCATCAAATCTGACCTCTGAAAAGGCCTCTGAAAACTCCCCCTACCCTTACAGATAAGGTGGCACCCACAAATGAGTTATGTCACTATAGCAAACCATCTTTTCATTTCATTCTGTATACTACCCATAGTTTATAGATTAAAACAAAATTTTGATTTGCAAAAGGGCTGATGCAATGCAAAGGCTCCTGAACTGTGCATCAAGACAACTGTGTCCCACTGGGGCTTCAGCCGCTGGCTAGCTGTGTGTCCCCAAGCAAGGTGGCTCTCTCCCTGAATTGCTGAGTCCTCACCTGTTAGAGAGGAGGTATCCTGAGGCTCTACACTGGGCCTTGGGTTGAGAATTATTAATATTATCATGATTACAAGTTACTGACCCAGCCTTTAAGGTAATATAAGAAAAAGGAAAGGGGAGCACACAGTAGAAATATAAAGACACTGTCATATTACAAGAAATCAAGTGCATAAATTGTGAAAGATAAGTCATGGTTTGTTTGTCCTGATGCAGTATAGAAACCACAATATTGTCAACAAAACACCAAGCGAAAAGCATGTTCACTATCTCTCCTACAGTTATGGTCCCTCACTCCCGTTGTTCCCCACTTGGCTGAGACATCCTGGCAGAGGTGATCAGAGTTGGGCAAGTGATGGGCAGAGCCCACTGTTGCAGGGCACCCCTGCTCACCTACACATTTCAGTTCCACTGTTGCTGGGCCTGGCCGTGGTGCTGGGGGTAGTAGAATCACATGGTTCCTATGGTCGGGCCTGGGCCATCTTCATATAAAATGACAGTCACAGTCTTGACCTGCCACCTACTTGGTTAATATCTGAGCAGATACACCCCACCAAACTAGAGCACACAAATATTTTTTAAATAATAAGGGTAATGCCTTCACAGACGCCCCAGCAGCTTTAGAGACCACTAAGGATGACCCAGGTAATGACACGGCCTTTGGCTTAGCTGCACCTCTGTTTGGTCCTGTGCCAGGCCACATTTGGTGGCCATGTGGTCCTTTGCAGCCCTCAGGGCCTCATACCCTCAGGGCTTCTCTGGTTGGATCCTTAATGCCTGACGCTTGCTGGGGAGGGGGCCGCAGCCTGCTCCAAATCTTCCACGGTGCTCCAGGGACGCTTGCTCAGGGCATCAGTATCCAGGTTTTTAAGGTGGCTTGGGACAAGCGGTGCAGGTGGCACTGGGGTTGTCAAAACTGTAAAGCTGAGGGTCCACAGCCTGCGGTTGTTAAATAGATCTCCTCTCCTCGGGTGATATTTGGGCTCTAGGCTGCCTAGTCTGAGCTCTTCTGGAAGGTGGAAATGTTTCTGGCCCTCTGGCCCTCTTTCACTGCTCTCACAGTTCCTGCCCACAAAGTTAATTCCTCCTCCCTTGGGCTCCACAGGCTTTGCTTATACACTGGCATTTTAGTGACAGTTCGCATATCTGTCCACCTTCTACCTGTGAGGCCTATGAAGTCAGTGACCTTTCCATGACATGGAAGAGTTGTGGGTCATCCTGACTAGCAGCCAGTGGCTGGACACAAAAACTCTTATGAGTTCCATGATCATTGTCTTATACAGCTCGATTATTTTGCATGAGATCTATAGATTATCAACAATAATGCTTTACATTATGACTTCATTTGTCCAATTCATCTTGCACATTGCTGCCAGGTAATAAATTAGACTCAAATCATCATCAAACATGGCATTAGCTTACAGCTGAAATCATTTCTTCATCATTTGTCCGCCCCAGGCATCCCCCATGGCCCTCCCATCTTCTCCTAGACATGTCAGAGGAGAATCGATCCCTGGAGATCATTCCATGCCAGCCTTTCTTTCTGCCCATGATAAGCCTGGCAAGGCCACCCTGGAGGTCACCTTTAGAGCCGGGAGGTGACCTGACTTCCTGGCTCAGCCTAGCAGCCACCACCCCCACTCAGAGCAGTCTATAGGTGGACATTGCTGCCACTGTATCTTCCTCCTCCACCCCTTTGGGGGGGGAGGCTCTCACTGCTGCTCCCCAGCGTGATCCTCAGATCTTGCCTCCACTCTGTCCCCTTGCAGGGAGGATATCCCGATGGGCACGCTGCCTGGGACGTGGCTTCTCCCAGGAGGACATTCAGGCAGAGTTTGAGCCAGGCACCACTGCCCACACCACTGCCCATCCACTTTATCCCAGTGCATGGATGCTAAATGCTTCTTCTTCCCTCGACTCCAGCTGGCTCTGAGCAGAGGACAAGCATCAGTGGGCAACATGTCCAGAGGTCCACAGCGCCACTCAGTCAGTTCACCTTAATGAAAAACGAGCCATTGTCCAAACCCCATTGTTCCCAAGACTCCCCTTATCCCTCCACAGTGTACTAGCAAGTGATAGGCACAGACAGGAATGGGAAGTAATTCGCTGAAGAATATAATTTTAAATAGTATTTATGGATTTTTTCCAATTCTAAAACACATAATCATTATTAAAAATTTAGAAAATATAGTCACGTTTAAAGAAGAAAATTAAAATCACCCATAATCCCACCACCCAGAGATCGGTGCCTTTTGCACTGACTCTCGCCCTGTCCTTCTCCACCTCCACCCACCCATGTGTGCACCCTACCATACTTCCCACCCTCCTCTCTGGCCTCGCTTGTGACCCTCCCCTCTCTGCTGGCTGTTTGTTTGCTCTCAGACTCTAAAGACCCTCAGGTCTCCCAATCCTCGGAACAGCCCCGCTCAGCCAGCGTGTCCCCAGCATGCCACCACCCTCTGGCTCCCCGACTGCAGAGGAGTGAGGCGGGGGTGCTCCAGGGGCAGGGCTGCACCTCCTCCCCTCCCCCCGGGCTCGTTGGCCCTGTCTCCTCCCGCTCCGGGAGTCATTCATGGCCTTTACCAGCAGAAAACCCTGACACCAGGGTCTCGTTTCTCTTGCTGTCTGCCCCCACCCTGCTGGCACTCCAAAAATCCTTCCCACAGGGCCAGGCCCCAGCTGATCAGTTCTCGTGGGATTCCCCGGAGAGCCTGGGAGGCCTGAATGTCTTCTGTGAAGCTGCAGGCAGAGGGTGGGGCTGTGACACTTCCAAGCTCCTGGGGAAGCCCTGCATGTGTGGCCTGGACCCTCCGCAGGTGAGGGGCCGTGAAGGCAGACGTGGAACATGGAATCGTACATGCATGTGAAGTAACGCCAATGGCAGGGAGATTAAAATCTGTGAACCTTCAAGACACCACATTTTATCTCAATGACTCAACAAATGATACGTCACTATGGATCAGTAACATTTAATCCAATATTCTGCTAATTTTTCATTATGTGTTCATTTTTATAGGTAAAATTCCCCCCATGCTTATGGTAAATGCATGGCCGTTTCACCCCATTACCCCGAGAGGCCCCATGGCCCTCTCGTTTAGAGCAGCGGAGGCCGAGGTCCTGGTCTGGGGAGGGCTCGCTGTAACAGGCCTGGCGACGTCCCAGACTGCAGACTCCGCTCAGCCGAGCAGAGCGCAGGGCCAGCACCGTGTGGGGCGCGGGGCAGCCGATGCGGTACTCAAAGGAGCCTCATCGCAGGGTCATCACACACGTCCTAGGTTTCATAGATTTCTGTATTTACTATACCGATTTTCCACAAGTGCAAGTGTCTTGAGGAAGGGGCACCTGTTTTTAATTCACACAAAGTCCCCAGAAGGGCTAGCACCAGGTGTCCCTAGGTCAGACTAGCAGTGGAACTGTCTGCACACTCCATCCCCTCGGCTATCTCACGCAGGGCAGGCGTGCTGGGGAGGTAGGCCAGCTGGCCACGGAGGGACATTCAGGGGTCTTGCTTTGGCCTTGGGGTGGCGCCCACAGCCCAGGCCCAAGCCTCCGGGTTTCCGCTCCAAATGCCTGGTGTATGTGGTCCCTGGAAGTGACCAGTGCCCATCCCCCATCCAGGTTCCCAGAAAGTGGTGCCAGCTCAGCTGTGAGCAGCAAGGAAGCACAGTGTCAAAGGACCCCAGAGCTCGGGTTGAGTGGTCAGCATTTCCACTCCCCGCTGGCCAGCTACGGCAGACCCCAAAGTCAGGGCCGGGGTGGCCAGTCAGCAAATAACCCCGGTGCGCTGTGGTGGCTCATTCGCCGTGTTCGCAGGGCACAGAGCTGTCGGTCAGAGGGCATGGGCCAGTCTTCCCTGGGCCAGGGCTGGAGACCCCAGCTTGTCTGCCCCTCGGGTCCCCGTCCCAACATCCTTGGGAGGATATAGCAGGGGCGTAGGGGCCCGCCCCCCACCCATGTCATGAGACCCATCTCTTCAGTCACACACCCAGAGACATCCTGGCTCCCCCAGCAGCTGTGCTCACCCCTTCCGTGCAGGTTTTGTCCCAAGAACGTTGTCATTTCCCTGGCTCCTGTTCTCGGGGCCGTCCTCACACTTGCCCTCATTGTTCCCTCCTGAAGAGCTGCTCGTGGAGCGTGTCAAGCGGGCTCTGGGGAGGAACATTTCAGAAGAGATCCGAACAGTCTCAGGGGAGGAGCAGACAGCGGAGACTGCAGCCAGCCCTGTGTCCCCTGCCCCCACTCCCGATAGACACCTCCGAGGCTGTGTGTATGTGAGTGTGTGAGAGGCAGGGAAAAGGAGAAACGTGGGAGGACAGATGGACAGCCGGACACGCCTGAGGCCTGGGGCTGCAGACAGACAGACTCGGGGCCAGCAGGAGCCACACTCAGACCCCTGCTTTTACCCCAGGATCGCCGGAGTGCAGTGCATGACTGTGCCTGGCTACTCCAAGGGCTTTGGCTACCAGACGGGGCAGAGCTTCTCTGGGGAGTTCGACCACGCCTGGAATGCTGTGTACCTGGAGGGGAGATGGCACCTGGTGGACAGCACCTGGGGCAGCGGCCTGGTGGACACCACCACCTCCAAATTCACCTTCCTGTAAGTACAAGCCCCGGTGTGTGTCTGCTGGGTGTCTGGCCGGTGGATGGAGGAGGCAGCAGGTGGGGGAGGCCAAGGAGGATCTAAATGCAGTATGCGTGAATCCCCCAGCTCCTGACAGCTTCTCCACCAAGGCGCTAAAAGCCTCCAGCACTTGCCCGCACTTGCCGTGTGAGGAAAGGCGGGGCGGAGACGCTGCTTTAATTGTTAGCAGGTTCCCTACAGGTCTATGGTCTACTGACTGTTTCACTGGGCGGGGACACCAGAATGTTCTCCTGCCCCTTTGCCCAGACACCAGGCTCCTTCTCCTCTCTGGGCCAAATGAGACCATATCTCATCTCCAAGGAAGGGGCTGTGGATTTGTGGGAAAGGGTGCTGCAGGTGGTGTGGGTCACTGTGAGCCGCATGGGGCGGGTAGCTGGGGTGCCAGGGAACATGACATCCACCAGCAGCTCAGACCCCTTTCTATTCAGAAAAATGAGTGCGCATTCTCTGATTTTTGCAGCTTAAGTCTTGGCATTCCCACACATGGGACAAACACAAGCCACGTGCGCACACACCCTACACACGGGACTCTCGAGCTCACAGACGCCTCCTTCACCCCATTTCTCTGGACACTGCTCTCCCACACCTCCACTGCCCAGCACCTGGCCTGTGGGTTGTGCCTTTGCTCCTGTCAAATTTCTGTTTGTCTTTGAGAGCAGGGGAGCCCAGTCCCCCGGACACCCCAGGCGCTGAGAGCAGGCCACGGTTTCAGGCCTCAGACCCTGCCTTGGCTCCACTTTCTGGAAGCATCCACTGAGCAGGAGTTTCCAGTGTCCACGTCAGGATTTCTATCTGAGGTGTCAATGGGCCCCCTCCTGTGGGTGTGTTAGCCAAAAGAAAGCCCCCAAAGGTCCCCTGTCGGCCCCCACCTCCTCCAGCATGCAGCCAGGTGCAGGCTGACCCCGCACGGCTGCTGACCAGCTTGTCCTCTGCCCCAGCTACAACGAATTCTACTTCCTCACGCATCCTGCTCTGTTCATCGAGGACCATTTCCCAGACAACAAGAACTGGCAGCTGCTGAAACCACCTCAATCCCTAAGGCAGTTCGAGAACAACATGTATCACAAGAGTGAATTCTACAACAAGGGGATGCTGAGTGCCCACCCAGAGACCTCCGTAATCAGGACAGGTGAGCCCAGAGGAGGTGCCCAGGCTGGTGCACCAGTGGCAGGGGCAGAGCAGTCTGTGCTGTGCCTTCGGGAGCCCACCTGAGGCTGCCCTGCCAAGCCCCCACATGGTTATGAGTGTGTAAGTGTGCGGCAGCTGCTGAACAACCAGGCCATCGGGCCGTTGGGGCAGGGCATGGCCATGGGCCACATGAGCAGGAACAGAGGCTCACTCACACTGGCATAAACTAAGAAGGGGATGAGTCAGAAGGCTGCTGATTTCCCAGCACTGAGGGATGGATGCGCAGCCTGGCCTGTCACAGAGCTGGTGCACGAGGTCCCGAGCTGGTGAGTGTCTGCCAGCGCACACAGCAGGGAAGAGGAGTGCCTCCACCCTGGCTGCACACGGCCCCTGGCTGAGCCACCCAGCAGAAGCCAGCTGGCCCACTATGTTCTCCCCAAACTCCTGGCAGAGAGAACGTGTGGGCCCAGCGGTCAGTATCTGTGTGTCAGTGGTTGGAAGTGAGGTCAGGGAGCAGCAGAGGTAGGAGTGGTTCTGCCCAGGACAGAGAGTTGGGCAGCTTCCGTAAGGAGGTAGCCACCAAGCTGGGTCTTGGGAGGTGGAGAACAGGTGAGTAGTCAGGGGTAGATGTGTTCTAGGCAGCGAGAGGAAGGAGGGGATACAATAAGCCCCCCACTTCCAAACTCAAGAATCCCAAATTGGGCTCCAGAGGGCTCAGCCTGGCCTGCCCAGTAACCCCTCCCTCCTGGAGGCAAGACCTAGCCTTGTCCAGGCTTCCTGGGGGTGGGCAGTGCAGGACATGAGCTTAGCTGCCTCCTGTGGCTAGCCTGGGCTGGCGTCTGCCATACGGGGGCCATGGCATCTGTGGGGCTAGCCGGGGGTAAGAACTGCATCCTGAGAAAGCAAGGCTTTCTCTAGAAGACTGTCTCTTATGCTTCTCCAAGGCCCCAGGCCCGAGCACACAGCTGGGGGCCCACGGCAGGGCTCAGTGAGTTGGGCAGCCCACCCTCCCACACCTCAGCCAAGGACTGCCTATCAGCACAGTCTCTGCCACCAGGAGGCCTCCATGGGTCCAGGACAGGAGGCCTGAGCTCACACTATCCATTTTGTGGCCTGTGGGTGGGCCCAGAGTGTTGGGGGCAGCAGGGGAGCACAGGTGGCCCCCAAGTTGGTTCCAACTGATCTGTCCCTTCCATCACGCAATGGTTTCCTTAACCAAGTTGCTGAGCTCCTGCATACTCTTCAAAACTGCAAACACCTGGCAGCTCCTGCTGCTGAAATAACAGCGAGAGGGTGCTCCCTTTGAGACCCGGTGTCTGCGTGCGCACAGGAAGGAGAGCCTGTGCAAACTGGAGTAGGCCATGGCACCCCGGGAAAGAATGCAGCAGGCCTCCGCACCATCAGACTAACATCATTGGGTTGAGTTTGCCGTTCAAGAGACATAAAAATATAAATATCAGACATTTTAATTTATAGCATTCTAAAACTTGATTCCATATTTGTGGTACACATGTAAGGAATATTTCTTTGTGGTAGCTAGTTGTGCTAAGAGTGGGGATGAGAAGGAAACAGAAGAGGGAACCTGAGGTGGGCACAAAGGAGGGGAAGGAAGAGAGCACCCAGATGTGGGGGTTATCCAAGACAGAGCTGGGGGAGCATGGGAAGGAGCATAGGAAAAGGCCACGGGCTCCCACAGAGGGCCTCAGGGCGTTGCCGGCCCTTTATTTCAAGTCTTCCTAGTCACTCAGCACACCTTTGGCAAGAACCCTCTGGGCCAGGCACCAGGACATGGCAGGAAATGAGACAGGCTGGCTCCTTCCCCAGAGAGCCTGCAGCCCCGAAGGGAGGCAGACATTATGCAAAAGTGCTCACCGGGTTAATTACAACAGTGGTAAGTTCTCTGGAGGAGAGCCAGTGCCAGGAACAAGGCTCCCAGGGACTCAACCTCACCTGAGTGAGGAGTCCGAGGAGTCTTCTTCGCTGTCAGGACTTTATGGTGAGGCCTTATCCAGGCTTGGGGGAGGCGCTGGGGAGGGAGGGCCTGAGGCTGAAGGGGTGTGGCCCTGGAGGGTCTGAGAGGGTGCCCCGACACTGGCAGCGAGGCAGGAGACAGGACTCTCCAGGGGTCTCCAGTGTGAGGGGCTCGGTGCGAGCCCAGGAGCGAGCAGGTAAACGTCTGCACAGGAGCCCTCAGGCTGCCACGCAGGATGCTGGGTGATGCTCCGCAATCAAAGGTGAATCGCGGAGGGATCTGGAACTCACAGCGTGGGAAAGATTCACAACTGGCTCTGATGTGAGATGGAACCGGGCAGGACTATGAGCAGTGGAGGCTGAGGCAGCCGCTGCCTGCTGAGCTGGTCTAGAAGAAGAGAGAGGAGGGGAGGGTTTCCACCTGGAGGGAAGAGCAAGTCTGTTGATCCTGGTCACTTGCCTTTGGAGGTTACCATGGAGCAGATGTGGCTGACGGCAGGCACCTCTGCCTCCCCAGCAAGAGCGTCTGAGCCCAGGCCGGGGAGCGGTTACCAGTGAGCATGGCTCGCACAGCCTGTCTCATTCCTTTGCACTCATCTGTGAACAGGGTCAGGGGGCATTGCGGAGGCTGGGGGCAGGTGACCAGCTTCTGAGAGAAGGCAAGGTCAGGCTCTCAGAGGATCCACTGCTCCTCCTCATGGTCCTCGGACCCAGGGAGAAGCAGATAGGTGAGTCCTCATGGGCTGCAAAGGCCAGGGAAGTGACCACCTGCCCCTGAAAATCAATGACCAGGACAAAGAAAGACAAAACTGCAGGGGAAGGGGAGAGACAGAGGGAGGGGAATGCAAAAAGCCCTCCTGTGTGCGCACTGACCCTTCAGGCTCCCGTTCCCCAGAAACATGGCTAAGACACAGCTAGGTGAGAAGCAGGGGGTAAGGGAGGAGGGGAGCAAGGAAGCACCCCCCACCCCAGCCCCCTGAGCACAGTCTCTTGGAGTGAGGCCGTCCCACCTAGATTGGAAGGCCATGTGTTGACATGGCAGCTGTTGGTGCTGTAACAAACAGAGGCTGGAGGGAGCAGTGTGAAAGCAAGACCTGGGGCTTGGGGGAGATGGTGCCCTTCCTGCCCCTTGGTCCTCTCTGGAATCAGGCAGCCCTCATCTGATGGGAATCAAAGGGTTGGGATGGGCACTTACAGCTGGTGGCACATTTTTCTTGACACACCCCAGCTTTCAGCTCGCTCAAAGAGATCCAACCTAAAGGAGCAGAGGAACCATTCCAGGGGTGTGCTGCAGCCAGCTGGTACTGTGTGTAGTAATGTCATATCAGTTGCTTAAAATCAACCGTGAAAAGTGTGGTGAAAGTGTTTACACCACAGAAATGGGCAAATGCTTCAAGTCAGGGCTATTACCCCCCAGAGAGACAGCTGTTACACATTTACCAGCGCATCAGCACGTACTGGACCCATCTCTCCTGACCCTGACTCTCTCTCCACAGTGAATGGGAAGACCACAGTCACTATCGAGAGCTGTGCCCCGACGCTGTTCATGTTCATGCTCAACGGCAAGCAGGAGCACGGGCTGCTGAGCCTCAGGAAGAACGGGATGAAGCTGGAGGTGTACCCTCCAACCATGGGCACCCACAAGCTGCAGATCTTCGCCAAAGGCCACTCCGACATCTACAGCTCGGTGCTGGAGTACACGCTCAAGTGCAACTACGTGGACATGGGTGTCCAGCTGCCGGCTGAGCTGCACCAGCCCGTGGGCCCCAGCTGGTTCTCGGAGCAGATGGGCATCACAAAGCCCTCCCACCCTGACCCCCTCATCCACACCAGCGATGGGCGCTGCTCTATCAGCCTCGGCGTGGAGGAGGGCATCAGCGTCCTGGCTTCCCTGCATGGGGACGACGGCCCCATCACCGAGGAGACGCAGCGGCGCTACATCTTCCAGCTGCACCGGGAGAAGCGGATAGAGCTGAAAGTCCAGCTGCCACATGCCGGCAAGTTTGCCCTCAAGATCTTTGTCAAGAAGAGGCAGGAACCAGGAAACTACGTCTTCGTCTTCAATTACCTCCTGTGCTGCGCCAACACCAAGGTGAACTGGCCCATGTTCCCCGAGAGCTTTGGTAACTGGGGACAGGACAATGAGCTGCTGGAGCCCCTGTCGGGCGTGCTGCCCGCCAACCGGAACGTCCCATTCAAATTGAAGCTGCATGGTATTGCCAAAGTCCTGGTGAAGGGGCAGGACACATGGCCCCTGACCCTGAACCGTGAGGGCTACTGGGAGGGCAGCTGCAGCACGGCCGGCTGCCAGGAAGTCTACGTCATGGTGCTGGAGAACGCCAACCACAACTTCTACTCCTACATCCTGAAATACAAAGTGAATGCCCAGTGAGGGCCTGGGCCCCGGCGTACCCTCCAGAGGGCCAAGGCCAGGCCTGCCCGGGGAGGGCCCAAAGGCAGTGCAGAGAGTCCTGGGCACCACTGAGTCTGCATGAAATCACTTCTAGGCCTCTGCCTCAGTGTCCCTGCTCTGCCGCAGGAGCTGTGATATTTACGTTCTGAAGGCTTCACTCCGTTGTCGCCCTGGCCAAGGGGACAGAGGCAAAGGCTCTTTAGAAGAAAAAGGTGCTATGTAAATCCAAGGTATTGTAAACTGTACACCAGCGCCCAGATGCCCCCTTCTCGTGTTAATGCTGTTGTTGTTGTTGTTATAGGATTGATGTGGGAAAGCAGGAAGATCGCCCAGGCTAAAAGCTTTTCACATGATGCTTAGAGAATGCTCCTCCACACCTAGGAGGTACATGATTTGCAAGGCTGAGTCATCCTTGAATCACAGAGCCCCTTTTAAGCAGCCTGACAGTGTTTCCTGACAGCTCCAGGCCCCCAAGGGATGCCGGACTACCATCTCTTCCCAGACCTGACCATCTTCTGCATTCCTGCTGCCTCTTCATTAGCTGCTTCTGGTTCCTCAAGAGCCCCAGAAGAAAGGTGTGGAGAGGACGCTTGCCGACCCACGACAGGCTGGAGGCTGAGCACCTCCACAGTCCCTGTGCGCAGCTGGGAATGTGACAACCAGAAGGTGTGAGGAGACTCCAAAGAAAGAGCAGCCAGTGCCCACTGTGCGTGTCCTGGGGGGAGGCCAGGGGACGGAGGGACACCGCTGGCCGTCCTGCAGCCTGAGTCTCAGGGTATAAGACGTCCGGCTCTGTGCTCCTAGAGAATGTGGAGGGCGGTGAGTTCAGTCTCAGGGGGAGGGTGACCCCAGGCCCTCTCAGCCCGACCTCTGCCTCCCCCCTCACAGGAAACCTGTAGATAACCCTAAGTAAAGGCCCGGTGGAGACCGGGTGAGTGAGTAGTGAGTAGAGCGACTGTAGCAGTGCCAGTGAGACTTGCAGGGTAGGGGGCTCTGCCTGCCCCCACAGTCTCTACCAGCAAAGCCATGGCTGGGGAGACCTCCAGCAACGTGGGAACAGTTTTTGTGCTCGTCCCTGCGAAAAAACCCTATCCCATCTCCCTTCCTCCCTTTCTCTGAGAAGAGAGTCCCTGCCATGCAGAGCTCGCAGAGCTCGCCTTCTGCGGGGACAGTTCAGGGCCCCTAGCTTGCTCAGGCCAGGCCTGAGAAGCCTGGGCAGAGCAGCTGGCCCTCAGCAGCGCCTGGAGCTGGCGTTGCCATGGCAACGGTGGAAGGGCTGCTCCAGCGAGGGCAGCCGGAGGAAAGGACAGAGAGAGGCCCCTTGTGGCCGCTGCAGCACCATCCCAGCACCGCCAACCTCCCGGCTCCTCCGGCTCCGTGGTCCCTACCTGTCTCAGCGCCCCACCCCTGAGAGTCGGGACCGCTTGGCACCTCTCCGCACTGCCGCTCCACTTTACCCTGGGGCTCACCTACAGCCAGGGCCAGCCAGGATCCTAATAGCCGCCCCCTCTGCATTCACATCTGTGTTTCCAACAAATGCTCAGGGGACACTTAGTAAATGCCAGGAGCCGTGCTAGATGCTGGGGCTACAGAGGTGAACCACAGCAGCCCAGCCCCTGCCTTCCAAAGCTCGGGGTGGGAGAACCGCCCGGCAGCAGCAGCCTCTCCTACCCAGGCCTGTCTGAAGTTCCGGGCTCAGTCCCTCAGCTCCCCGGAGTCCCTCCCCACAAAGTCCTTACCACTCAGCATGGACCTGGCCCAGAGCCAGCTCGCAAGGGTGCCCACCCTGCACCAGGCTGGGGGCCTTGAGCACAAGAGGCATGCCTCCTGGGGGCTGAGCTGCCCTAGCCTGGTCCACTGCCCTCTGACGGGCTCTGCCACCTGGCCGGCACCCTGTCACTCACGCCTGAAAAATGCACAAAAGCCCGGGAGACATAACTGATATGCACAGCCACAGGGAAACAAGGGGAGTTTTTACACCCTGAAAACAGCCTTTTCACACACCTTTGATTTTACAGGCTGAAAGAAATGTGCTGTGTTTCATCAAAATAATAAGTGCCTTCTGTGACACATGTCACTCACTGGCCCCAGCGCTGGCTCCACGGCTAGTCCTGCTGGAGACCTTCTAATAAAAGATGTACCTTTTGATATACAATATAATTAATCAATCAGTACATTCTGGAGCATGCAAAGGATGCCACCCAGCAAAACGGGAGCTGTCCCGGCACCAGAGAGGGGGCCCCCACTTCTCACAGCACCCGCGGGGCACCCCGCCCCTCCCTCTTCATTTAACCAGGCGACCCCTTTGTAAAGACAGCTGTAGGCGCAGTCAGAAAATCACCTGCATTTCTTTCCCACTGAAGTAAGAATACATGAAACGAAATCCAATCTTCATGAATTTTTACACGCATGCTGCTCAGGGTAGAAATTCGGGATTGCATTTTGAAGGCTTTTATTCAAATCCCCATCTTTGTTTCCCGGCCCACGAGTCCCAGAGGCCGCTGGAATGACACGGGCGCACCCTGGTGGCCGAAGTGCGGCGCTGCGGGCGCCGCTCACCTCCGCGAAGCTGCAAAGGATTTATGCAGAACTTGAAAAATACTGTTGAGATGTTTATGTGAAAACCACTGGTGCTTTCTCGTGTACGTGGAGCACGTCTTTGCCACGCACAAGCTGTGAGGGGATCCTGGGGGCCTGCTGGAGTGGTGAGAAGACGGAATGGAATAGGAATTAGGAGTGTTTTGCCTGGAAATCCCTTCTTGAAACAGAAACACTGGACATAGGACTGGGTGGGACAGCTTTGACCACACCCATTGCTATACCAGTGAGTCAGTGAAACTGCTCAGTCTCAGAGTACACTTGCTAGCAAGTCCCAGGATGGCAGCCCCTAGGCCACAGGGCTGACAGGTGCCCAGGCACATGAGAGTGGGGGAGGGGAAGGGCAGAGGGGCGACAACCCGTGACTGCAATTAACTTCTTTTCAGCTTTTTAAAAAAGTGCCACCAGCACAGCTGGACTCCGTTTTCAATCTGATTATGATCATTGTGAGGTCCCCATATGTTACATTGTCCCACCAGGACAAACCCCTCACAGCCTGCTGAGATTAAAAGGAAATAAATAGATTAATTGAAGCATGAAGGATTTAGGCTAGACATAAAGAACTATTTCCTGTTGTTAAGCAGGAGGGACAAGCTGCCAAGAAAGTTGGTGAAATCCTCTTCTCAAAGGACCTGAAAAGTAGAAGAGTTTTCCCAGTGCTCTGGTGTTTTAGAAGCCACTGCTCGGATTAGGTTCCGTCCGTCCCAGTTAATTCTTAAAACACACTGGTTCGCCCACAGCAAACAAAGGGTTAACGGGTATTGCCAGCTTCTTTGCTGTTGACAACATCTTCAAAGGCGGTGTGCGTCTGTGGCCCACATCGGTTTATCTGCGGTCTATAATTTCTTTTCATTTGGAATAAGTAGTTGGAAACCTGAAGAGGTGATTACTTCTCATAATGCGTGCACTGAGTTGTGCGGGCCGGTGGCTGTTGCTTGTGCTTTCCCCACATTGTGGCTGGTGTTGTTTTTCAATAAAATTTATATTCATTTTTATCCAACAATGTAATTATCGATTCATTCTTATCACTGCTCTCACAAGGTGTGGGCGGGGGAAAGAGGAAAAAAGTACTTTCATGTTGAAAGGGAGCCCTGGAAAAAAAAATCAATGTCCCAGCCATTTGAATGTGATGGCGAGATGCAAATGAGTGTCAGGCGTATAGCTATTTCACATTAAAGAAAACATAATTGGGTTAGCTCCAGCCCTCTACCGCTCACATGCCTTTGAAGAACATGAAGGCAGTGTTTCTTTCATTGAATCTTGTTTAACTTGAAATTTTTTAAGTCAACCTTAATTTCTTTTTATAGTGGGAGGAAAAAAATGTACCAAAAATGCCTATCAGCCTAGGGGTTTTTGTTGTTGTTGTTTTGAATATATATAAATATGGATTTCTTGATATTCATATACATGCAGAAACTTTCCAGCAGGTTACTTACAAGCAGATTATTCATAAATTAGACATGTAGAGAAATACAGAAAATGAAAATCTAGACACCTCCAAGAAGCTGCTGTAACCATGGAGACCATTCTCGTAGCTGTAGTGTGAAGGACAAAAAGAACTTGTGTTCCCAAATCTGGCCTCGTCATGTCTCTCGCTGCTAGATCCACAAAAATGAGACCCAGCATGCTTCTCCTTAGGAAGGAGGCGCAACAGCGTATTACAGGGAAGACAGAAGAAACAGTCTGCTGCACAAAGGGAGGAGTAACTCTTGAGTTATTAGAACAGTCTGAAAATGCCAACCTGAGGCTGGAAGGGATGACCTCCAACGTCCCTTCCAGTCCGGAGAGTTTGTGATGCCGTGTCTCTGTGAACAGATGCTGGCAGGCGGTGGGCCTGCGGTTGTCAGCAACAGAGCACGTGAAGGGCCCTGCTGGGCAACATCTGAAGGGGCCTGCTGTGTTAAGAGCCTGCCCCTGGAGCCCCCGGCAGACTGCGCGGCTGGCTCCTCGCTCGCCTGAGGGCAAGGGGCTGGAGAAAAGCCCAGCACAGGGACCGAAGGGGAAGCAACAGCCTCTGACAGGATGCTGGTTCTCTCTGATTTTGCAGGCAGGACTAGAGAATATTAAAAGACGTCCTCTTTGGCTTGTCCCACAGGCAGCTCTGAGTCAAAAGATGCTAAAATGAAGCCATTTTTCTCCCCCAAATTCCTTCCAACTCCTCCTGGGCCCCCAATTCAGCAAATGAATTCTCATCCACCCAGATACCTAAGTCAGACTCATAGTGGTCACTGGGGACTCTTTCATCTCTCTGAGTAATGAAATGAAATCTGGTCCCTTCTGGACGTGTCTCATGTCCAACCTGCTCTCCCAGCTCCAGCTCCTCTCAGTTCCCAAAGCCTGCCGAAATTTAGGCCCTCATCATCTCAGCTCCACTGTTGGGATTGCTTCCTTTGACCAGATGAAGCCCACCTGCCCTGTTACTGTCCGTGCTGGCCTCTGGTGAGAGCGCTAGAATGATTGGGTTGTGTTCAGACAAGGCTTCCATGAGTCCTTCCAGAAGAAGCTCACCGTCTCTGGAGAAGGCACAATTGGTGTCAGGCACTGGTAGAAATGGTAGGTCTTCAGACAAAAATTGGTTTTAATAGGGAATCTGAGAAAAGACCAGTCTCCTCCTTTTTCTCTAAAGAGATGAGGGGCCTAGGTCCTCCCTCCTGGGTGAGCAAGATGGCTCCTCCCACCACAGCCACGTGGGGGACTGTGGCAGGGTCCAGGGCAGAGCCCAGCCTGCAGGTGAACAAGATACACCTTGAAGTCAGATTCTGCACATCCATGGCTCACAGATGACTTCCCTCTTGTCGTCCTAGACCAGCAGCACACTGCTCACATGTCCAGGTACGTCGGCCGGATCCCCTGGAAGCAGACACTGAGACACAGTTAGGAACACAAACGTGCTGGAGGGCACCACCTGGGAGAGGTAAAACGGGGAGGAACCAGGACTGGACAGAGAGACTCTCAGACCATGGTGCAAATCTGACCAAGACCAGTCCACCCAACAGCGAGTTCCAAAGCAGAATTTTTTTATTAGAAGAGTCCCAAGCTGTGCTGACATGGCCAGGCCCTAGAGAACTCATTATGCTCAGCCACTGGCTGGGGGCTGCTGGCAAGAGCTTGGCCTCAGTACAAAAGCTGAGAAAGACCCTGAAGGTGCCAACAGCTGGAGACTCTCAGGTAACTGCACTCCTGGCTGTTAATCGGCAAGTTCTTTCCAGAAGAAACACCTGCACAGTGCACTTCCTTGTTTGCCACACAAATTTATTTGCCTAGGCTATAGGGGACTTAGGGAAGGTTGGGTGAAAGCTCTGGGGTGGAGGCAGCACCGCCAAAGCCATCTGGGAGCCAGAGATCACTGGTGAGACTTCAGGAGGTGGTTTGTGGAAGGGACAGAGCAAGGCCCAGGTCTTGCTGCCTCTGCATAGGAAGAATGCTCCACTGGCCTGCCTTCCAGGGGCTGCAGACTACTTTGACAGAAGCCAGCTTCTTTCTTATTGCTCCCTTGGGCTCTTGGCCCCTGCCACCCAGGGCAGCCTCAATGTGACAGCCAGAAGGATCTGTCCATGTTACACTCCTACTTAAAACCTGCCAATAGCCCCCATTGCTCCAGGATGGAGCTCAGACTCCCACTGTGGCTTCACATTGCTTTCCGTCTCTGTCTCTCCCCAAGCGCACCTGAGCAAAATTAATTAACCACGTGACACTGGGCAAGCCCTGGACCTCCCGCCAGCATGCTTGTGCACATGTTGCCCCTCTTAACCAGGGAGCCTTTTCCTCCCTCTCTCACTGGAGAAGCCCTGCCTGGCCTTCCTGCATCCGGCCAGCCCCCACTCTGCCAGCCCCTCTCAACCCCCTCCCCAGCTTCCAGCCCACGTGGAATCATCTGCTGGTCCTATGTGCTCGCTCACCCTTTGTGTCTCCTCTGTTAACCCAGCACTTTCTACGAGAGTCTGATGGAGGAGGTGCTTGGAGGTTCTGTCCCTCATTGTGAACTTCTTGAACACACACACACTTTGGTTCTCCTTGTTGGCGCAAAGTAGGTGATTGGCAAGTGTTTCACAAGGAAAACTGAGAGGGGAGAGGAAGATGGGGCCAGGGAAGTACCATAGCTCAGTCGTCCATCACCATTCGCTGAGTGTGTGTTAAGGCAGCTTCCCTTTTTACCAGGACTGGCCCTTAGGCCTTTTGCCCAGCTCTGGAAGCCACAGCCTGGACACTGAGGAGGAGAACCTCAGATTCTCTCGGGGAAGGCCACACCCCAGGGAAGGGCTGGGAATGTAGGGTGGGATCATCATCCTGGAAAGGCTCAGGGTGCAGTCAGTAGTGGTCTTCAAGGAAGTGAGGGGCCCTTTACCAGGAACAACCGTCCAGACTTATTTATGAGGCTCTAAAACAGGACAAACACTCAGCAGCACGTGACCTGAATGCAGGCCTTCGGCTTGCCCAGAGAAGAATGCCCACCCTGCCTGTGAAGGTGGGGGTGGCAGAGGGTGGTCACAGACTCTGTGGCCATGAACAGTTTCATGGAATTTTCTCTCCTTTATTTGGTTTCGGCCCCAGATTTTCCCCATAGCCCTGTTAGAAGGAGAGCCTATAATCTAAGCTGTATGCTTCCATTTAACCCAGAGTAATACACACAAATACAGCTAAAGGCATCTGCCCATCCACCCCACTGACCCAAACAGAGACCACCAAACAGACCTTTCCTCAGGAAAGCTGCTAAAACCCCAGAAGAACCTGTTATCTTATGAAAAAGCTACAAAATAGCTCATTTGATTATTCAGGACCTAAAAGCATAAGCATTTTCTGTGGGCAAAGCCTGAGTATGTGGGACTGTCTTCAGGAGTGTTGATATTTTGGAAAGCAGTACTCAGGGGAACACTCAAAGCTTGAGGTTTCTTTGAGCATAACTGTGCTCCAGGCTGACCCTCTCAAGAGAAGCTCCTGCAGGACAGACCTGCGGGGTGCTTGGTCATCCAGTGGCAAAGCTGAGCCCCGAGATCTGAGAAGGAGAAGGCAACCTGGACTGGGCCTACAGAGAGGTTTCATCTCTCGGCTTAAACCAGCTCTTAGCTATTTGGTCCTTGCTGCCTGGAGCCCTGGGTTCAGAAGGATTCTGAGGTTATGTCTGTGCCCAGTAGGAAAGAAGGTCCTGGTTAGCTAGTGATCCCCAGACACAGGGTTGGAGGGTGAGGTGTGCCATGGATTTGCCAACACTGACTTAACAGCAGCTGAATCAGGGCTGAGACCAAAATAATGAAGAAGATTACTCAGACCAGTGGGGCTCCCTGGCTTCCAGCCAACTAGCCCACTGGCTGACACCCAGTCACCGTAGGTCCAGCATCCTCTGGGGACCTCCTGACCATCTCTGGGCTCCACTCAATATATAACCCGCCCAACTCAGAGCACACAAATACCACTCCAGGGAGAACTTGTTTGCTCATTCATCTCCATGATTAAACAGTGCCTTGCACTTAGAATAAGTAATCACTAAAATTTTGAAGTGAACATCGACTTGTCATTTCAAAAATGAAATAATAGATCACTGGGTTATTTCCACGGCTGTTGAGCAAAAAGGTCGTTGAGTTACAACATCCTAGGTAGTCATTTCCTTCTTTTGCTCAGCGAAGAAGGCGTAAGCACAGCAGCGAGCTTCTTTGCCTTTGCGGGAAACGTTTATGTACAGGAAGAGGAAAACCGCCACCTGGCTGGGAGTGCGCACAGTGTCGGCCTCCGGGAACCAGCCAGGGTTTGGGCGGCCAATCCATCAGAGCAGTGCCCTTCTCAGGGAGTCTGCAGCCCTGAGCTTGTGCTGGGATTGCTTTGTTTCCATCAGGCAGAACGGCTGACTGCCTCCCTGACACAAGGAATCACCCATCACTTCGCCCTGGCTGTGCAGGGACCAAGGCAGTGACGCTCCGCTCCAGGGTGGCAGGGGCAACTGCGCAGAGGCTGGTGGCATGTGGACGGAGGAGCGGCCACAGCTGCGAATGCGCAGGAACAG